TTAACAGGATATTAAAAAAAACACTTGTTTTAATATAATCAATCTCGGTAAACTGACGAATGCCAAAAATATACAACAAATTTACAATTTTGAAAATTTCATTTTTACAATGCTGGGTTTCCAAACAAAAAAAAATATTTCCATATTAATTTTCCCAAAAATGTATCATAGTTTGATTTATTATTTTCAAAATTATTGAATGTGGGTATTATCAAAATATTTAGTCTATAAAATTTACATCATTTTAAAAATTCGAAAACTTCGTAAAAATTTAGAAGTTCCCCGACTTCCGATTTTTTTCAATATTATTCATGACAACTTGAAAAAATCAAAAGCTCCCATTTTAATTTTTTTCTTCCACCAGGAAACTGTTGAAGTTGACAAAATTACAAATTTTGAAAAATCCTTAAAACATTATTTGCAATATTTGTGTTTGAATTTCTCGGAAAACTTAAAAAAAAAACATGAGCAATTTTTTCCTTTTTTGAAATTAAATAATTAGTAAGAATTATCACTCAAAACTATGAATTTTCCAGAGGGATTACAAAAAAACGAAAATATAATTTTTCATTATTCAAAATTTTGAAAACAAAAAACGTAACGATTCAAAAACTGGAAAATTATTTTCGATTTTCAGAAATACCTATAGGATAACAATATCAAGTTCGAAAAAATCATCAATTTGTCCATTTTTCGAATTTTTAGATTTAACATTTTTTTGATTTTGAATAATTCAATTATTTCTGTTACAATTTTTCTAGTTTTCAATTTTCTGTTTCTTAATTTTTAGGTTTTTCATTTTTCGAATTGTAATTCGTCAAGTGTGTTCCAATGTTCTAATTATTTTATTTTTTTTTGTTTTTACATTTATTTACAAAATAAATATTTTATTTATTATTTTTAAAGTTTTCAATTGTGAAATTTTTGGATTTTTCAATTTTTGTGACGTTTTCAAGTTTCGATTTTTGCGAATCCCGATTTTTCAATTTTTCGATTTACAATTTTTCTAGTTATAAGTTAATTTCTTCGATTGCTTGATTTTTAATTTTCCATTTAATTTTAATATTCCGAAATATCGGTTTCCGATTTTTCAATTGTGAAATTTTTGATTTTTTAATTATTGATTTTTCAGTTCCTCGATTTGCAATTTTTACTTTTTTTGGAATTGTTATCTTCAGGTTTTCCAATGTTTTAATTATTTTATTTTTTGAATTTTTGGTTTTTCTATCCATATTTCGATTATTTTTTGTTTTTACAATTTACAAATATTTTATTCGTTATTTTTTTATTTTTCCAATTTATCAAGTATTCGTTTTTAATTTTCCAATTACTCAGTTTTCAGAGTTTTCAATTGTCAAATTTTTGAATTTTTCAATTTTTTTGGCCTTTTCAAGTTTTGATTTTTCCGCTTCTCGATCTTTTTCTAGTTACGAATTTTTGATTTATGTGATTCCCGATTTTTCAATTTTTTGATTTACAATTTTTCTAGTTATCAGTTAATTTTTCGATTGCTTGATTTTTTTTTTCCAATTTTTGATTTTTCCGATTTATTTTTACAATTTATAAATATTTTTTGTTTTTTTTTTCAATTTTCCAAGTATTCGTTTTCAATTTTCCGATTCCTCAGTTTTTAGAGTTTTCAATTGTGAAATTTTTGGACTTTTCAATTTGTGTGATCTTTCCCGTTTTAATTTTTCCGATTCTCGATTTTTCGTTTTTTCGATTTACAATTTTTCAAGTCGTACATTTTTGATTTTTGAATTTTTGCGATTCCCAATTTTTCAATTTTTCCAGGTACAATGTTTCCGATAAATTATTCTAGTTTTTGATATTTATTTCGATTTTGTTTTGTTTTTATAATTTATATATTTTAATTTTATTAATGTTTCGATTTGTAGTTCCTTGATTTTTCAATTTTTAATTTCTCACTTTTCATCTTCCCGATTTCTTTTTACTTCTTTTTTCGGTTTTTATTTTGCAATTTTTAGTTTTTACAATTGTTAAGTGCTTTTTTTTTCAAAAATTTAAAAGAATCTAGAAATCTACTTCGAAATATCTTCAGAACTTAACAAAAAAAACCAAAGTTTTAAAAACTGTAAAATTTCGGAAAATATAAAAAAGAGTTCCACTATTTTTGATTTTTGGAAATATTAATTTTTTGATTTTCGCTTTTTCAATTGTGAAAAAATATTTGGTTTTTCAATTTTTGATTTTTCAGTTCCTCGATTTGTAATTGAACTTTTAAGTTTTTCAAATTCTCATTTCGATACTTTAATTTATTTTTGTTTAACTTTTAGATTTTCTATTGCTCTATTTTTAATTTTTCAAATAACAATTCTTCAAATTTTCCGATGTTTTCATTTTAAAATTTTTGATTTTTCCAATTTTTTTAATTATTCTACTTTTTGATACTCCTATTTATTTTGAAAATTTTTCATCTTCCGATTTCTTTTTTCGGTTTTGTAGTTTTAGGTCCTTATTTTACAATTTTTAGTTTTTTGATTGTTAGGGTTCGAAGTGTGCCTTTTTTTTTCAAAAATTTCGGAAAATATAAAAATGAGTTCCACTATTTCTGATTTTCGGAAATATTTATTTTTTGATTTTGAATATTCCAATGCTCGCTTTTGAATTTTTCAATTATCCGTGTTACAATTTTTCGGTTGTGAAATATTCCGATTTCTTAATTATCCGCTTTTTCAATTGTGAAATTTTTGATTTTTCATTTTCTCGATTTGCAAGTTTTTCAAATTCTCGTTTCGATACTTTAATTTTTGATTTGTTCAACTTTTCGATTTTTAATATTTCAATTTTTCAAATAACAATTCTTTAAATTTTCTGATGTGGCCTTTTCAAGTTCTGATTTTTTCATTTTCTCGAGTTCGAAATATGTATAAATTTTCTAGTTACGAATTTTTTATGTTTGGGTTTCCAGATTTTTCAATTTTTTTATTTACAATTTTTCTAGTTATCAGTTAATTTTTCGATTGCTTGATTTTTTATTTTTCAATTTTTGATTTTTCCGATTTGTTTTTACAATTATAAAAATTGTTTGTTTTTTTTTTTCAATTTTCCAAGTTTTCGTTTTCAATTTTCCGATTCTTCAGTTTTTAGAGTTTTCAATTATGAAATTTTTGGACTTTTCAATTTGTGTGATCTTTCCGGTTTTGATTTTTCCGATTCTCGATTTTTCGTTTTTTCGATTTACAATTTTTCTAGTTATACATTTTTGATTTTTGAATTTTTGCGATTCCCAATTTTGCAATTTTTCCATGTACAATGTTTCCGATAAATTATTCTAGTTTTTGATATTTATTTGGATTTTGTTTTGTTTTTATAATTTATATATTTTAATTTTTTTAATGTTTCGATTTGTAGTTCCTTGATTTTTCAATTTTTCAATTTTTAATTTCTCACTTTTCATCTTCCCAATTTCTTTTTATTTCTTTTTTCGGTTTTTATTTTGCAATTTCTAGTTTTTACAATTGTTAAGTGCTTTTTTTTTAGTTTTAAAAGAATCTAGAAATCTACTTCGAAATATCTTCAGAACTTAACAAAAAAACTAAAGTTTTAAAAACTGGAAAATTTCGGAAAATGTAAAAAAGATTTCCACTATTTTTGATTTTTGGAAATATTTATTTTTTGATTTTCGCTTTTTCAATCGTGAAAAAATATTTGTTTTTCAATTTTTGATTTTTCAGTTCCTCGATTTGTAATTGAACTTTTAAGTTTTTCAAATTCTCATTTCGATAATTTAATTTTTGATTTGTTTAACTTTTAGATTTTCTATTGCTCTATTTTTAATTTTTCAAATAACAATTCTTCCAATTTTCCGATGTTTTCATTTTAAAATTTTTGATTTTTCCAATTTTTTTAATTATTCTACTTTTTGATACTCCTATTTATTTTGAAAATTTTTGATCTTCCCGATTTCTTTATTCGGTTTTGTAGTTTTAGGTCGGTATTTTGCAATTTTTAGTTTTTACGATTGTTAGGGTTCGAAGTGTGCTTTTTTTTCAAAAATTTCAGAAAATGCAAAAATGAGTTCCACTATTTCTGATTTTTGGAAATATTTATTTTTTGATTTTGAATATTCCAATTGTCGCTTTTGAATTTTTCAATTATCCGTGTTACAATTTTTCAATTGTGAAATTTTTGATTTTAATTTTCTCGATTTGCAAGTTTTTCAAGCTCTCCTTTCGATACTTTAATTTTTGATTTGTTTATCTTTTCGATTTTTAATACTTCCAATTTTTCAAATAACAATTCTTCAAATTTTCTCATGTGGCCTTTTCAAGTTCTGATTTTTTCGTTTTCTCGAGTTCGAAATATAAATTTTTCTAGTTGCGAATTTTTGATTTTTGGGTTTCCAGATTTTTCAATTTTTTGATTTACATTTTTCTAGTTATCAATGTTAATTTTTTCGATTACTTGATTTTTAATTTTAATTTTTTAATTAATTAAAAAAAAAATGGGAAATAATTTCCTCCTGTGAATTTTGAGATGAAAAAAAATATATTTTTTTTAACCTTTGAATATTTATAATTATTAATTATGAAATTTCCGAAATTTGCAACATAAATATAGAATTTTAATTTAATTCAATTTCTACAAAAAGTAATTTCCAAGATTTATAATTTTGGAAAATGTTAAGTAACATTTAGAATTTTAAAAAATGTTACGATTAAAGAAATTCTATTTTAAAAACCGAGACAGTTAAAATAAAAAAAAAAAAAGACAAAAATCTGGAAATATTGAGAAAAATGTTTAAATCAAAGAAATCCTATTTAAAATTTTCAAAAAAAAATTCTTCATTCAAAATTTTGGAAAAAAGAACTACTTATGGAAATAAAAACTAGTGGACCACCTACATTGTTTTCCTTGTGGTTAGCAACAATACCGCACGCACACCGCGACGAAAGTACTTTTCCCCACGCTTGTGCTTTCTCGCCGACATTCATGTAGTGATAGTGTCTTGTTAAAATGAACAGAGGAGGTTGTACCTCTTCGTATTTTTTGTCGGCCTCTTCGGCTATGAGTTTAGCTTGAGCCAGTTGGTTTTCCAATATGGCTACTCTGTCGTCTTCCATGTTGGTCCTGTTTTCTAAGGCTTTGCGTATCCTATATGATGTTCGGCATGTTAATAGCGTTGTCGACTACTCTATTAAGCGATCACGAATCCAATTGTAAAAATATTCAAATCAACCACATTAAGGTCATTACGAGGATGATGTCACGACAAAGGAGTCTACGATTCCGTCATTTTTATGCATTTTTGATTAAGAAAAACGCTGACTAAAAGCACGATTAGGAGACGGTAATTGTTTTGATTGTAAATTATTATTGGAGATAAGAGTGCGATAATTGATAAAGCGCGCTGATTAAAATAGTTGTGGTGTTTAAACAAGCAACGAGTTTCAATATTTATGACACATAAAAGAGAATCCTCGAACGATAATAAACAACACATTAACAACATCCGCCCGAGTTATGGACAGTTTTATTAATTTTGCTGAGTTGTCATTTTGAACAATTTCGTCGAAATTTGAAGCCTGGAATTTTTCATCGGCTACTAGAACGCATACTTTGCGTCCATTATCTCAACTACCTTTAAATTATGTGTCCTCTGCGACTGGTTTTACAGACGAACAACTGTAAAAACGGCCACAAGCAAAATATCGTTCGAACTCTCCGACTTGAATATTTTTACAATCGACTTTATCGACCGCCGCATGGTTAGTAGCCACACGATTTTTTCGACGGTCGTCGCTCGAAACAAACCTTTCGCTTTCATCGGCGGCGGCGGAAGCTTCCGCCAATTTGGCAGTGGCAGTGGCCAGACGTTCTTCCGAACGTTCCAAGTCTTCTTCTAAGAGCTGAATGCGACGGTTGAGGGCGGCGACTTCCGATTCAGCCTGCAATCAAACAAAGAATGCGTCAGTCACCAATTCGGCGTACCTGGAAAACGCAATGACGCGCTTTCCTCAGATATCGATCTTTTGAATCATTCACGCAACATCCGCGTCACCGATTTCTGAATTAGTTACAAACAATGTGAACAATGGCACAAAGGCACCGGAAGGAAATGCGCCATTAGGTTTTTGTTTGGGGTTTTTTCTCCACCCTAGAATGGTGTTTTTCGGTGGATTTTAGCAGGTGGAGTTCGATGACCGGCCGTGAAAGGTGAGAATTCGAGAGTTTTTCAAAGGAATTACATGCATATGCAGCGGGTCTTGGTAGCGCGGCGTTTCGCTGTTTATGGAAGGTTGTGTTGAAAAGCGACGTCAACTGAGTCACATGAGGTATGGATGGATGTATATTCATGGTAATTGGTAAAGTGTAACGGGAAAATTAGGATGAGTAGGCGAGTGGTACGCACACTGACGCGGTTTTTCTAATACGTTCACTTTTAATGTGGTCAAGTAGATAATAAAGTTTTAGTGTGGAAACTGCAGTGAAGGCGATAAGAGAAAATATGAAGGCAGGTGCTTCTCTGCACTAGTTATTTCTCAAGAAATTATTAATGAAAGCGCCATGACCGGAACGAACGCTATACTAAAATTATTACAGCCGGAAGTGGACGGGAGTTAATTATTGTTACATATTTTTCTGGAAAAAAAAAACAGTATTCGTAAACAACTCAAAAAAATCCGGAAATAATGCAGCAGCGAACACCGTTAAAAATTGGCAAATTATGTTGACATTTTGTCCCTATAATAAAAATCTTTAAACAAGTAGTGGAAAAATTACATATTTGCTTAAAATGCACCACGAACTTTTGAGTTGAATAAAAAACTACAAATTTGGAGCTACTTTTTTAAAAATATATTCAACATAGAAACTCTTTCCTTTTATTTTTTGTTTTTATAAATTAATCCATTCCATTATTATTTTTGGATCCATTTTTCAAGTTTTCAACTTCCAATTTCTTAATTTTGAATACTTAATCTCTCTTGTTTGAATTTTTCTATTCGTTTTTACAAATTTTCGTTTCTTCAATTTTCCCATTTTTCAGTCTTCGATTGTAATTTGATTTTTCAAAACTCCGTTTTTTCAATGTTCAAGTATCAATCACTTTTTGGATGCAACACAATTTTTCAGATTTTGTAAATAGGTCTATTTTTCGATTCTTATTTTAAATTTTTTAATTTGACGAATTTTCAATTCGCAATTTTTCGAATGTTGGGTTCTAATTTTTCGTTTCAATTTTCAGATTTCAGTTTTTGATTTTTCAACTTTTAGTTCTTCAAAATTTTTTGATATTATAACTTCAATATTTAAATTTTCGATTTTTTGTTCCTCGATTTTTAATTTCTCAATATTATAATTTTGGGATTGTTCGATTTTTCAATTTCGATCTTTCTGATTTTTTTAACTCCATTTTTGTTGTTTTAGCGTTTCGATTTTTAGTTTGCAATTTCTGTTTTTCGATTTTCCAATTTTCAAGTTTTTTGATTTTTCAACGTTGTGGATTTTTCAACTTCTGGAATTTAGTTCCTCAATTTTTAATTTTTCAAGTTTTCCATTTTTTATAATCCTATTTCTTATTTTTCCAATTAGGCCTCGATTATTCAATTTTTCGAATTCCTAGATTTTTTGTTTTGTTTTACAATTATTCAATTTTTAAATTTTTTAATTTCTCGAAATTAATTTTTTAATTTTTTGTTTTTACAACTTTCAAATAATTTAATTTTTGATCTCTTTCAATTGGTCCTATATTTTTCGATTTTTCCATTTTACAATTTTGCTATTTTTTTTTCCCAATTCAATTCTTCAAATCTTAAATTTTTTGATTTTTCAAGTGCGAAATTTTCGTTTTTTCAGAGTTTTCATCTTTACTTTGCAATTTTGTAATTTTTCAATTTTCCAATTTCTCATTTTCCAAATTTTCAATGTTGAAATTTTTGTATTTTTCAATGCTGTGAATTTTTCATTTTCTCAATTATTACCTGGATTTGTAATTTCTCAATTTTTCTTTAATTTTTGGATTTCTGGATTTCAATTTCTTCATTTACTAGTTGTTCAATTTTGATCTTTCTGATTTTTTTTTGCGTGTTTCGATCATCAATGTGCAATTTCTCAGTTTTTAGTTTTTTCAATTTTCTAGAATTTAGTTCCTCGATTTTTAATTTGTCAAGTTTTCCATTTCTTTAAATAATCTTATTTTTTATTTTTTCAATTAGTCCTCGATTATTCAATGTTAGGAATTTTTAAATCTCTAGATTTTTAATAAATCAAATAAATAAATCAAATTTAGTTCCTAATTTTTTTTTTTAATTTTTTGTCTTTTCTATAATTATTTTGAAATTATTTGTTTCTACAATTTTCAAATATTGTAATTTTTAATTTTTTTCAACATTTTAAGACTTTCAATTTTTTTTCCAAATTTTTAAAAATTTTCGATTTGTATTTTTTTAATTTACGATTCTTGATTTTTAATTTTTCAGTTTTAATTTTCCCATGTTCTTATTACATTTTTCTTTTTTTTGCAATTTTTCGATTTCTCAGTTTTTCAAATTTTCAATTATGAAATTTTTGGGTTTTTCAATGCCGTGAATTTTTCATTTTTTTATTATTTCCTGAATTTTTAATTTCTAAATTTTATAATTTTGCAATTGTTTGATTTTTCAATTTTTCTTTTCTTCAATTTTGGATTTGTATTTTTCAATTTCTTCATTTTTTTTGTTTAGATCTCTAGTTTGCAATTTCTCAGTTTTTCAATTTTCAATTTTTTTAACTTTTCGACGTTGTGGAAGTTTCAATTCCTGGAATTTATTTCCTCGACTATTCATTTTTCAAGTTTTCCAGTTTTTAATAATCTCATTTCTTATTTTTCCAATTACTCCTCGATTATTCAATTTTTCGATTTTTTATTTTTCAATGATGTGATTTTTTGAATTTCTAGATTTTTAGTTCCCCGAGTTGTTAATTATTTTATTTTAATTTTTTTAATTTCTCGACTTTTTTTGTTTTTTACAACTTTTAAATTTTAATTTTTGATCTTTTTCAATTTGTCCTCGATTTTCCATGTTTCTATTTCATAATTTTGCAATGTTTCAATTTTTTTTTTCCAATTCAATTGTTCAAATTTTAAATGTTTTGATTTTTCAAGTGCGAAATTTCTCAATTTTGATTTTTCAATCTTTGGATTTGAAATTTTTTTAAATTTTCGATTCTCAACTTTTAATTTTTCAATTTTGATATTTTCCATCTTTTTTTTATCGCATTTTTCGTTTTTTACAGTTTACATCTTTACTTTTTTTTTATTTCTTCATTTTTTCGATTTCCCAATTTTTAATTTTTCAATTTTGATATTTTCCATCTTTTTTTTATCGCTTTTTTCGTTTTTTACAGTTTACATCTTTACTTTTTTTTTATTTCTTCATTTTTTCGATTTTCCAATTTTTCGAATTTTAAATTTTGGAACTTTTTAAAAAATTTTCAATGCTGTGAATTTTTCATTTCCCCGATTATTTCCTGGATTTTTAATTTCTCAATTTTATAATTTTGCGATTGATTTTTCAATTTTTTTTTCTATAGTTTTTGGATTTGTGGTTTTCCATTTCTTCATTTATTACTTTTTCAATTTTGATCTTTCTGATTTTTTAATTCCATTTTTATTTCTGGAATTTAGTCTTCGATCTTTAATTTTTCAAGTTCGCCATTTTTTTAAATAATCTTATTTTTTATTTTTTTCAATAGCAGCCTGGACGCATGCAAATGTCGACTCATTTAGTGGTAGCAAATTCAACTTTTGCTACCACGGGTTCAAAAAGAAAAATTGAGGTTATGTACGCAATGTTTGATGTGATTATTTCTTAAAAAATGAACAAATATGTGCTACAAACATTACTTGAGTATACGCATGGTAGTTGGTAGACGGTAGAAGATAAAATGATTAACTCAGCGACAAGTATAAACGGTTTTCTTTGTGTTGAAGATTTAGATCAAGTTTGATTAGAAATCGAAACAAAATCATGTTGCGTCAAAAAATTGAACGTTTATTTTTCAGTTTATTGTCTTATTGTTTCTACTAGTGAAAAAAATAGTATATTAACCACGGTTGCAAAGCCACTTCTAGACCTCGCACTTACAGCCCTCGACGCTGCGCGTCTCGGGTTCTAATTTGCGCTCGGTCTAGAATGCTTGGCTCTGCAACCTTGGCTAATAATATACTATTTTCAATTAGTCGATAATTCAATTTTTCGAATTTTTCATTTTTTTTTCCCATTACTCCTCGATTATTCAATTTTTCGGTTTTTTCATTTTATAATTTTGCAATTTCAGGATTTTTCAATTTTGAAATTTTTGATTTATCATTGATGTGATTTTTTGAATTTCTAGATTTTTTGTTCCCCGAGTTGTTAATTATTCTATTTTAATTTTTTTAATTTTTGATCTTTTTCAATTAGTCCTCGATTTTCCAATTTTTCTATTTTATAATTTTGCAATGTTTCAATTTTTCAAGTGCGAGATTTGTCAATTTCGATTTTTCAATTTTGATAATTTCCAACTTTTTTATCCCATTTTTCGTTTTTAACAGTTTTTATCTCTACTGTGTAATTTTTTGTTTCTTCAATTTTCCGATTTCCCAATTTTTCGAATTTTCAATTTTGAAACTTTTTCAATGCTGTGAATTTTTCATTTTCTCGATTATTTCCTGGATTTTTAATTTCTCAATTTTATAATTTTGCAATTGTCTGATTTTTCTATTTTTCTTTTCTTTAATTTTTGGATTTGTATTTTTCGATTTCTTCGCTTTTTTTGTTTAGATTTCTAGTTTGCAATTTCTCAGTTTTCAGATTTTTCAATTTTCAATTTTTTTGATTTTTCGACGTTGTGGAATTTTCAACTTCTGGAATTTATTTCCTCGATTATTAATTTTTCCAGTTTTCCAGTTTTTAATAATCTTATT